GGCAATTAACTATTCTTTCTTTCACTTGCTTCCATGTGTAAATATCTTATAAACTAACTACTAAATCACTAAAGCCTGATATTCTCACCTGTTGAGTATTTATATTTTGACCACTTATCTCAAAAAAAATTATCTTTTGACCACATTGGTCCAGAAAATCACTTTATCCTGTAACTGCTTGTCCTCAAGCATGAAGGTAGGTTTGCAGGAAGACGTAAGGCTATTTCCATAAGCTTTCTGCCGGTGATAATGTAACCCAATGGACAAGCACTTCGGAAGTCGGCCATAACTGTTGGCTCCGATACCATGGTCAGCCTCTATTACATGAAGAAGATTTGACCTTGTAGACATTTTGTTTTCTTGACTTTTTTTATAGCTTTTTACTTGGATGACAACCGGTGCCCTGTTAATATGATCCTCTCTTTCTTCTTCGAATTTCTTTTTAACCTCTGATGCCATTGTTAGTCCCACTTAACTGAGATTTAATTACGGGATGAAAGATCCGGCAGATAACTGGAATTCTCTCTGTACTTTATGGCCTTTACAACTTACTTCAACTGACTAGTAAGGGATAGTTGAGACGAGAAGTCTTCAATCTCTTGAACTCGGAGGCAAGAGAGAACCCTTGGATCTCTTGAATTTAGAAAGAGACTCCACTTTTATTGAGAAAAGTTATGCATGGGTTTTCCTTTGTATATGAATAGGCACTTCTATGGACTTATAGGTAACTTCCAATAACTGAAGAGTATCCATCTTTCCTGGGTTAGTTTCTAAGAGGTTATACTTGGAAGCGAGAAAAAGGTGTAAGTCGGCTGCAGGTCTACCAGAGGCAGGCACCCCACGCCCTGCACCAGCAGCATTGTGAGACACTGCTGTAGCTGCAGCAGATTGGTCCCACTACTTAGCTAATTAGGCCCTTAACTAATAAATTTTGGATTCGTTAGATTTTTGCCTTACTATTGTACTGCCTCTGGCCGATTCTGTTTCTGCTTTTATTGTTGTTGCTTTTCTATTATTGTCTCTTGTAATATTCTGTGAGGAAATCAGTAAAAAAGGGGGTGATTTATGCAGTTTGTACACATGACGAATAGTATGAAAAATCTCTAATCAAATCCCTAAATCTTTCAGAAATTTTCTCTCTTTCTCCCCTCCTCCTTGCCTTCCTTCTCTCCCACTCTCTTCTCTCCTTCTCTTCCCTGCTTCGGTTAATCCCAAGCCGTTCTCCATCAGACTCCTTGACTGACTGCATGTCTAAGAATTCTGACAGAAGGTTAATTAATTACTCTCACATGTTTATTGATGAAAACTCTTAGATATATAATAGCATATGTTGATGAAAATAAACAGATTATTTTCTCTTATCTTTGCAGTGCCTTCCGTCACCGATGCAACCTGGGACTTGGTTGTTATCAAGTCTGAATCACCAGTTCTCGTTGAGTTCTGGGCTCCCTGGTGCGGTCCCTGCCGTATGATGCACCCTGTTGTTAGTGAACTGTCAGTTCAATATGCCGGGAAGCTCAAATGCTACAACCTTAATACCGACGAGAACCCCGCAATCGCAACCCAGTACGGGATCCGAAGCATTCCAACCATATTGATCTTCAAGGATGGTGAGAAGAAAGAGACAATTATTGGTGCCGTTCCTAAATCCACCTTGTCGACGAGCATAGAGAAATTATTGTAGAGATGGTCTAAGAAAGATCATCATTGATGGAACCCAACTTTTCGTATTAATTTGCTTATTCCGTAGTCAACTATCAGTACTAGGGAGCTCCAGCACTTGGCTCCCTTAGTAAACTCTCACTTGCACATGTATAGGATTCTGTTCCGCCTTCGCCTTTTTTTCTCAAGATAGCTCATAAACGTTTAAGATCGAATCTTCTTTTACCGGTTTAATATCATGTAAATGTATCGAGTTTTACATTTGTTCTTACGTGGATATTGATTTCTTGCTTAAAGAACAATAAACAATCCTGAATACTCCAATAAACTTGAAGAACACGAAATCAATCTAAATCTAGTATTATAAAAGTACGTAAATTATTTGTTTGCTAATTTCTCAATTCAAAAATCTCTCTCTGAGTTTATCTCATTGAATCTAATTATTTTACCAGATTCGAATTCAACTATTTTCAATGATAGTCCGTGATTCAAACCAAATTCAAATCATACGATACTATTAAAAATGTTTGTAAACATATATTTGACTAATAAATTTCATGTTGCGATGCTAGAAACTATAAGCCTGGCTGGCCACTGTATACATCAAGCTGACACGGCTCCGCCATAAAAATCTGTCGCTAGCAGGCTGAGGTTGGGAGTGCTTGTAAGTATCATGCTTCACTTCATTTTCATGCCTTTGCTTTTAAGCCATTTCATATACATACAAAGTAATGATGGTTCAGTACTGTTCTGGTGTACCTAACATAGATATTTTTGTAGTGTTCTTATTGACCATAATGACTTTTTTTAAAAAAAAAAAAAAAAAATTAGTGTTTTTAATTAAAATTAATATTAAATTAAAAGAAAATTAAGAAATTAAATTTTAATTACCATTAAAAAATAATAAAATAAAGTAAGAACAATTTTTTAATTTTTGTAATTTTTTAATCCTTGCCATGAACTTTGTTTATGTCCAAAGGGAGGTGGGCAAGCATTATAGGCTAAGAAGCTTCCATTGGGGTCAAATTTTATTGGTCAAATCTACCACCTTTTTGCTATTATTTTTATTAGTAATGTAATTAAATCATAAATTATAAATAAAAATATAATATTACAACAATATGTATTCATTATATTTATCGTAAAATTATGTATAATTAATCCAAAGGGTGTATTAGTTTTCATAATTTAAAAAAAAAAATTGAATATGTTAACATTTTTTTGGAAATTTAATATTATTAGTATTTATATTATGAGTGTTTAAAGTATTATTAGAATAACTATTTTTTTTAATAAAAATATGTTATATATTTAGTAAAAATAATTATAAATGTATAAATTAATTACACATTTATGTATATATTATGCATAACATGATATATATATATATATATGTGTGTGTGTGTGTGTGTGTGTGTGTGTGTACTTATTATTACCCACGAGAGAAAACGAAAAAAGAAATACAATTTGAACTTATCCATTTATTTTACTATACTTATAATCATTATTAATTCACTTATCTAAACAAAATATGGAAAATAATTATGACATCATATTTTCAAATTGGGTAAAATAATATTTGCCACTTTTAAAAGTTTTTGTACGACGTGCTTATTTTATTTTTCTTAAAAAAAGGAAAAATAATAATTAATAAAAATCTAAGTTGTTAATTTTTTAATATTTTAAAAATTACAAACCAAATATAAAATTATTTATTATTATTTTTTTTTTACCCAAAAGGGATTTACACGTGTGAGGTAACGTACGTGCGAAGCTTCCACATCGGTGCCGACGGAGATTGGTTGTGGATGAGGTTATCCCTTGTCACGCGCGACCACTGTATTTTATTATTTACAGACCATAAATGCATACAAATATAAGATGGTTGTATCTATCTCCCTCTCTATATAGTATAGTTGTATGTATCATCCTCCGCAATTTGCTCTCGACCGTTTCTTTCTTTCAGTTTCACATCGCTTCCTCTATCCATCTCTCATCGTCCTCGAGGATTAGTTTCGAATCGATCAGATTTGGCGGCACCCTCATTTCAAGCTCTTTGTTTTTAAAGGCCATCTCAGTTTGCTTCTTTCATCTCAAGCTCGTCCATAAAGTAAGTTTCTCTCTCCTTCTCCGTCTCTCTTTTTTTTTCTTTTTTCTCTTTGTTGTTTATTTCCACGGCTTCCTTCTGTTTCTAGGTTTTCCTTTTGATTCGATTTTGATCCATATCTGAGTTCTTCTTGTCTTATCTCATCGTTTTCTTGTTCCATTTTCGATTGAATTTGGAAGAAAGAGAGACGATTTCTGGCTTGCAATTGATTTTTACGCTTACGCTTATTTTTTCTGATAAATATTTATTATTTTTGCCATATCCGGGCCCCTGTTTGGTTTCCGAGAAAGCTAGGGTATAGAGACCGAATTGAATTTTGTTCGTTGAGGATGTTCGTAAATGTTTAATGGAGATTTTTTATTTTCTATTGTCTGTTGTAGCAAAAAATCCTTGTATACCCTTGTTCTTTAGGTTGTTAACCCAAATTCGATGCCGTAAATCTGTTTTCTCCTGATCTACAGTTTAATTTCTTAACTTCGATAAGTCGCCATTAAAAATCTTTGCTATGGACATAATGAGCATAAATTAGCTTAATGTTTGGTTATGAAGCCTCTGATTTTCCCACCTCGTTTCCTTTAAGTTATTCTTTCGCACATTTGAGAATGACTATGAACCAGGAATTACTCGTTACAGTTATGTTAATCTAACTTACTTGAAGGAATAAATCTAGGAATAATCAGATGATGTTTTTTTTTTTTTTTTTTTTTGTCTTTGAGAAATATGATAAGATGATCTTACCTGAAGGAATTGAATCTTTTTGCTTAAGTTGAAGGTTTGGAATAAAATTTATATCTTTCTCTTTTTCTATATTTCAGAATTCAAAACGAGATTCCCATCAACCTAAAAGGCTTAATTAGGATTATTTTCCATCTTTCAATATACCTTGTTGTTGTAATAATTTTCTATATTATTTTAGGATGTAAATAAAAACGGGCATGATTTTCTCATTGGTGATGTTGGAAACGAATAGAGTAATTATTCCACCTAGTTTTATAGCCTATAAATAGGTCAACATCTGGTAGGGAATTTGAAGTACTGACGATAGTTAATACAGAATTCTGTCTTAAAGCATGTGGGAATAACAGCTCTTTGAAAGCTCAAGTTTTTATCTGAATTTGGAGGTGGTGGATGAAGAAGAGTAAAGAGCTTCAGGTGCCCATTACAATTTATGCTGCAAGCATTTCTAGCCATTGTTCTTTTGCCTGCCTCTGTTTTTGGTTGGTATAAAAATAGGTGGGGTGGGGCGGGGGGGGGAAGGTAAAGGTACTAATTCCTTATACTTTGGTGGGTCTCTTATCTCTCAAATAATTTTATTTATTTGCAGCCAGTCTGGCCAATTGTCTTTATGCTATTGTCACTTTCAAACATTTAATTTGCAACTACTGTCACCTATTTGATCTTATTTATTTGCTTGAGATGCTTAGGAAATTATCTCTGTGATTTAGGAGGGTGCCATGGTCAACTTGATTTAGTTGAAAATAATTTGATAAATTCATCATTCAGATCTTCCTCTCTGTTATTTGCCTTTTTTTTTTTTTTTTTTATGTTGAGATGTGACTTCCTTAGTTTCTTTCTATCTCTCAACTTTTTCTTTAAACAAACAGAAAATACACATAATTTTCTTTAGCAGATATTTGGAGAGAGGTGTGTGTTTTATGGAATGTTCTTGGTCTTTTCTTTTTTGGTGGATATATTCACACAACAAATCTATTTGTAACTTCATTTCTGAGAAAGAACAAATTTCTTTAGCAGGTTTGTGCATTTAGCCATGGAGCAAAACTTATTTGAGCCAGATACTCACTATGAATCTGATGGAGATGTTTCACTCAAGCACAAATGGAGTCCCTTATCGGGCCCTGCGAGGATTCCAGAAAGTGATAGCGGCTGCTTTGATTGCAATATTTGTTTCGATTCAGCACAAGACCCCATAGTCACACTCTGCGGTCACCTATACTGCTGGCCATGCATTTACAAGTGGCTGCAAGTACAAATCTCCTCAGAATCTGACCAACTGTCGGGGAACAACTGCCCTGTGTGCAAGGCTAACATCTCTATCTCCTCACTAGTTCCCCTCTATGGTCGTGGCATTCCCTCTTCCGAAATGGGATCCAACAAACCCAACCTGGATATGACTGTACCACGTAGACCAACTCCTTCTGGGCCGAATGCTGCGCTGATTACATCTACATCTACCTCTACGTTGCCCTCAAGTGATCACCTCCGTCCGAATTTTTTCCACCCATCGCACTACCAGTCTTTTCATCAGTACCCTCCGTACTTTTCTATC